AGTCGTCCTCTATCCATTCCCATGAGTGAATCACACCTTGAACCGGCAATAGTCGTGACTGTGAATCAATAGCCGCTACACTTTGAGTTTTCCCTCCCGTTTGCAGTGGAGCTATTTATTGATTCACACACCTATGCCTTTTCAAAACATCCTCCTTTGACTCGCTTTACCCTTTCTTTCATATTTTGTCGTTTCTCCACTTGTCGGGTTTGCCAGCTAGCAGGGGGGGAGGCGGGCGACAACTTACTGAGGTGGTTCCTGTGGACTCGCGTTGGGAGGACGCGCCACATCATGAACTACTTCCACAGGTGCGCCACATCATGAACTACTTCCACAGGTGCGCCACATCATAAACTACTTCCACAGGTGCGCCACATCATGAACTACTTCCACAGGTGCGCCACATCATGAACTACTTCCACAGGTGCGCCACATCATGAACTACTTCCACAGGTGCGCCACATCATGAACTACTTCCACAGGTGCGCCACATCATGAACTACTTCCACAGGTGCGCCACATCATGAACTACTTCCACAGGTGCGCCACATCATGAACTACTTCCACAGGTTGTTCGTGTGCGGCACTGTACAGGTCACCACCTTCCAACCCCAGGCTGTATTGGTTCGCCTACATTGGTTGTGTGTCATGCAGCGCAACTGTCAGATCGATTTTTCACGCTGTTCGCGTATCCTCTCGCCCATGTGAGCTACTTCGCAGTGCGCACAGCAAAGCTCATGTTCATCTCCCCTTTACATCACTGCGGACTGTCCTCTGTTCCTTACCTATTTGCAACTCTCCCCCCATGGCACAGGCTGCAGCGTGACATCCACGTGAGCTACTTCGCAGTGCGCGTGGCGAAGCTCATCTTCATCGAGCTCTACATCACCCACGTGGCCGGCTGCTTCTTCTACTTCCTCGCCACCACCTACCCTCCCGACCAGGTGGGTCAGTCACAGCCACCACCTACCCTCCCGACCAGGTGGGTCAGTCACAGCCACCACCTACCCTCCCGACCAGGTGGGTCAGTCACAGCCACCACCTACCCTCCCGACCAGGTGGGTGGGATTTCATGTTACCATCCACGCGACCAGGTGGGAGTTACTAGCTACGCCCCGGACTGGGTGGGAATCAAATGTAGGTGCGTCAGTTTTACTACCTACCGAAGTGGGTGGGGTGGGAGGTATATGTAGTGCTAACCGGCTCCAACACACCACTGGGCCACATGCGAGCTTCCATTTCCCCTTTGGACCCGGCCTGAGCCATGTGTAGCATACGTGGTTTGCCCGGGCTTTGTTTGGTTCACATGTGATGTGATGCACTCTTTTCGCCTCACATTATGCTACGGTGGCGCTCCAGTCCGAGGCGTGCATTGCAAGTGTCAAGGTCAATTCTGAGTGTCTTGCACTTTGTTTCTATATTGCTCTACCACGTTTCGTCAAACAGCCTTTGAGCGTAACTTGATTGGCACAATCGAACTCTGTCATCCCATTTCACGCACTTTCTTGTGCCTACCAATCCCCGGCCCTTACACTTGGATGCCCATGCAGGAGGGCAGCACGTGGATAGGCAGTCTGACGCTGGGTGACCTGACTTACACCAACTTCCGGGAAATTGACCTGTACACGCGCTACTTCACATCACTCTACTGGTCCGTCATCACCATGGCCACCATCGGTGAGTTCTCTCCCTCCCATTGAGAATGCACATTCACCATTCTCCGTTGGTGATGTAGGGCCACCATCGGTGAGTGCAGCTTTAGTTGAGTGCAGCTTTAGTTGAGTGCTCATACGCCCGTATGAAGACCTTGAGGGTCGGAAGAGGGCCATCGGCGATTGATTAACAAGGAGTACCCGAAGCGGTGCGAGTGCGTGGCTGATTACCTGTTGTAGGTTGGGTATGACGACGACAACGGGGGCATGATCGTATGGGTGCTGACCATGCTTAACAACAAGGAGTTCTTGCGCATGGCAAAGTTCCACTCGGGTCGATGTGCTTGTGAAGGAACTTTGCCATGCGTAAGAAATCCTTGCCGGTAAGCATGGTCAGCACCTCTACGATCACGCACCCGCTGCTGTCGTCATGCCCAGCCTGCATCAGGTAATCAACCACGCACTCGCACTGCTTCTGGTACTCCTCCTTGCTAATCAACCGCCGATGGCCCTCTTCCGACCTGCCAGCCACTCCTTCCCCCCTGAACATTCAACTTCACAGATTTCTGTGACGGTGGTGAGACCATAGAGGACAACAGTGTCCTCCCCAGCTGTCCTCGCTCGATTAGCTTCGGTTGGTCTCCCCATCTGTTTCTTGCTGCATGTCGCCCCATCCGCCTTCCGCCTGTCTTCCAAACAATGGCGATGTGTACGCATTTCTTGAACCAAAACAATTGCTCCTCCCACTCATTTGCTCCCTTCTCCTGCCTCTGCTCCATACCACCCTCCCAGGGTATGGTGACGTGCATCCAGTGAACGCGCGTGAGATGGTGTTCGCCATGGCCTACATCTCCTTCGACCTCGTGCTCTCCGCCTACCTCGTCGGTGAGCCATGCCATGCCATATCATGCCAGGCCATGCAATGCCAGGCTAGGCCATGCCATGTCATACCATGCCATGCCACTCCAAGACCTGCAATGCCATGCCACTCCATGCCATACCATGCTATTGCATGCCATGTCATGCCAATCCATGTCATGCTGTGGTGTATCATTCCATGCATAGTGTGCTGAGCAATTCCGTGTCATGCCACTCCATTCTATGCCACGCCGTTCCATGTTGTGCCATACCATTTCATGCCATGCCATTCCCCATACTATGCCATGACATACCATTCCATGCCTCGCCATGCCATGCCCCTTGCACACCTTCTTGGCGCAGCACATCCCCTTGTGCCCCATGCAGGCAACATCACGGTCATGGTGGTGAAGGAGTGTTTATGCTGCCGCCATTGCGCCTCACACCCCATTGCACCCCGTTGCACCTCATTGTGCCCCGGGCAGGCAACATTACCACAATTGTGGTGAAGGGGTGTATATGCTGCCGCCATTGTCCCTTACCCTGCGCCTCATACCCCATTGCACCCTGTTGCACCGCATGCAGGCAACATCACAGCGTTGGTGGTGAAGGGGTCCAACACAACGCGATACCGTGAGAAGATGTCGGCGCTGATCAAGTACATGAACCGCAACCACCTGCCACACTCCCTCAGACAGCAGATGAGGCAGGTGAGACTGTGAGAGGGGTGGGAGTGGAGGGAAGGGAGAGTGAGTGTGGCGGGGAAGGAGTGAGAAGATGTCAGCTCTGATCAAGTACATGAACCGCAGCCACCTGCCACACTCGCTCAGACAGCAGATGAGGCAGGTGAGACGGGTGGGAGAATCCACTCGCACTTGCTCAACGCATCAGTTATCATCAGCAGATGAGGCAGTGCCACAACAGGCCAGTGGCAGTTCGAGACAGAGCAGGTGGGGGATGAGGTGGAGGAGGAGAGGAGGTTGAGGGCCTTGCTATGACCACCTCCTGTGTCCCAATATGCCCCCATTTATTTGGTATCTCCCACCCACCAATCACCCCACCCACTCACCCACCCATGCATCCACCACACCAGCACGTGCGGCTGCAATTTGAGACGGAACAAGTGGAGGACGAGGTGATGGAGGAGTTTCCTCTCAGCATCCGCCATAAGGTGGCGCGCGCCCTCTACCAGCGCGCTGTGGAGGCCTGCTACCTTTTCGATGGGTGCTCGGGGGAGTGCATCAACCAGATAGTGAGTGCATCAACCAGATAGTGAGTGCATCAACCAGATAGTGAGTGCATCAACCAGATAGTGAGTGCATCAACCAGATAGTGAGTGCATCAACCAGATAGTGAGTGCATCAACCAGATAGTGAGTGCATCAACCAGATAGTGAGTGCATCAACCAGATCGTGAGTGCATCAACCAGATCGTGAGTGCATCAACCAGATAGTGAGTGCATCAACCAGATCGTGAGTGCATCAACCAGATCGTGAGTGCATCAACCAGATAGTGAGTGCATCAACCAGATCGTGAGTGCATCAACCAGATCGTGAGTGCATCAACCAGATCGTGAGTGCATCAACCAGATCGTGAGTGCATCAACCAGATCGTGAGTGCATCAACCAGATCGTGAGTGCATCAACCAGATCGTGAGTGCATCAACCAGATCGTGAGTGCATCAACCAGATCGTGAGTGCATCAACCAGATCGTGAGTGCTGCTGTGTAGGATGTCAGCGCTCTAAGACATCCACATGTGCTCATTCAGAAGAACATCCTTGTACCCCCTGTCTCACGTTCCCCCAATATGTGCGGTGGGATATGGTGCGGTGCTGTGCGGTGCGTGCAGGTGGCACGTGCAGTGCCAGAGTATTACTACCCTTTGGAGGTGCTGATTCAGAAGAACGACGCCGCAGAGCACATGTTCATCGTCTGCTCCGGCACTGTCCAGGAAGCTTCCTGCGTGCACGGCGAGGGGACGGACGACGAGCACCGGGCTACCCTCGCAGCCGGCAATGTGGGTCGCGGGGGATGTGGTGGCTGGCGGCTGAAAGCTGAGAGCTGGGGACCTGGGGCTGCTGGGATGGGGAGTGGCAGCTGAGCGCTGCGGACATGGGCCAGGAAGATAGGGCTTGTTGAAGAGTTTCGTGGGGAGGGGTGCACTTGAGGGCGTGTTCAGATTCAGACGCTTGGTGGTTAGTGCATTCAGCAAGGTGACATGGTTTGGTGGGCAATGTCTGGGTGGGGCATGGTCTGGGTGGGGCATGTCATTCGGCCAGCAAGAGTAGCAGGGCTCCCCTCCCTCTCCCTTCCCAGCCTTGCATGCGTCCCTTCCTCTTCCCCCCCTTGTGTTTCTCGTGGTCACCCCCCTTCCTCCCATCTGTTGTATCCTCGCACTCCTCTTTTGTCTCCATGTCCACATGCGCATGTATTCATTCATCCCCCTTCCCCCCCCCCCCCCTGCCTTTTCCTACCCACCGTGCGGGCAGATGTGTGGGGAGGTGGCGCTGCTGTGCAACATACTGCAGCCATTCACAGTGACGGCCAAGGAGCTCACCCAGGTGAACTATTCTCGTTGACTGTATCAGACGAGGAGCTCCGCCAGGTGAGGAGCTCTGCCAGGTGAGTCACTCTCATTACACGGGCCTGTGTCTATAACAGATGGAATGTGACTGTAACTGATGAACCGTGACTGTTAGGTAATTTGTAACTGCAGCAGACGAATTGTGGCTGAGCTTGTAACAATGACTTTAATTAGCTGAACCTTATTGTGACTGTGATAGGTTGAATTGAACATGCCTGCTCGAACCCTGCTTTGACTAGGGCTGCCTTGTGCATGTGCACTTGTCCAATGCATGTGTGCTCATCCAATGCATGTGTGCTCATTCAATGCATGTGTGCTCATTCAATGCATGTGTGCTCATTCAATGCATGTGTGCTCATTCAATGCATGTGTGCTCATTCAATGCATGTGTGCTCATTCAATGCATGTGTGCTCATTCAATGCATGTGTGCTCATTCAATGCATGTGTGCTCATTCAATGCATGTGTGCTCATTCAATGCATGTGTGCTCATTCAATGCATGTGTGCTCATTCAATGCATGTGTGCTCATTCAATGCATGTGTGCTCATTCAATGCATGTGTGCTCATTCAATGCATGTGTGCTCATTCAATGCATGTGTGCTCATTCAATGCATGTGTGCTCATTCAATGCATGTGTGCTCATTCAATGCATGTGTGTGCATCCATGTGAGTGCATCCATGTTTGTGCATCTAGGCTTGAGCACCAGCGAACCAAACAGGGTCTGTTTTTTGGCCAGAAGTGTTCGCCGAACATGTTTGTGTTCGGGTCGGCGCCGCAACCCGAGCCGCGCCGAACACGAAAATGAGGGGTCCGACAAACACAAACGTGTTCATCGGGCATTTCGCCGTCAGATCTGCGCAAATATGGGTTTTCGCCGTCAGTTACGCTCGGATCTGGCATTTCGCCGTCACACGCACGTCCTGACACGTCCTGACACGTCCTGACACGTCCTGGGTTGGGGGGTGGGGAGAGAAAATGTGCTGCGTTTTGAGTTTTGCTCTATTTGGACCTTTCAGCCACCTAAGAAATGTCAACCATCCACAATCCACAAATGTGTGACCATAAAGAATGCTGTCAGGGGGCGAACACGTTCGTGTTCGCCTCGAACACCACGGCGAACACCTTGATTTGCCAAAGGTGTTCGGCGAACGCCAACATGTTCGGTTCGCCCCTATGTGCATCCATGCATGTGTGCATCCATCCATGTTTGTGCATCCATGCGTGTGTGTGCATCCATCCATGTGTGTGCATCCATCCATGTGTGTGCATCCATCCATGTGTGTGCATCCATCCATGTGTGTGCATCCATCCATGCATGCGTGTGTGCATGCAGGTTCTGCGCATCGACCGCCAGTCCCTCTCTATAGTCTCATCACTCTTCATTGTGGATGGCCGTCGCATGGTGGACAACCTGCTGCAGGTGGGGGTAGAGAACAGTGCACACCCTTAATAGGTGAGGTTTGACAAGTGCACACCCTTATCAGGTGGGACTAGATCAGTGCGCACTGTTATCAGATGGGGTGGGGCTAGATCAGCGTACACCCTTATCAGATGGGGCTAGATCGGTGCACACCTTTTCTAGGTGAGCCTAGATAATTGCGCACTCTAATTATGTGAAACTAAATAGGACCACACCCTTACTATGAGTTCACTCCCGTTGCACCCTTCCCTCACATCACATGACCCACAGCACAGCGCTCGGAAGAGGCGGGCAGCAAGTTGGCGGGGCTGGCGGCGGAGATGGAGGCGCTGGCAGGCAACACCATGCACGCCACACCACGCCATGTGCATATGATATGAGCCCACGCCCATCCTGTTGCACCCTCCCCTCACATGACATGACATGACATACATGCGCTGCGCAGCGATCGGAGGAGGCGGGCAGCAAGTTTGCAGGGCTGGCAGCAGAGATAGAGGCGCTGGTGGCGGCGCAGGAGGCGGATCTGACAGTGAGCACCATCTATGCCGCATGGACGGGCGACATGGCCCAGCTGCAGCAGCTGCTGGCTGCCGGGGCCAAGGCGGACAGGGCTGACTACGACGGCCGCACGCCTCTGGTAGGGCTGCCTTGGGTTGTCAGATGGGATCTGGCTGGGCTAGGTTTGAGATGGGGTTAGGTTTGAGATGGGGCTAGGTTTGAGATGGGGCTAGGTTTGAGATGGGGTTAGGTTTGAGATGGGGCTAGGTTTGAGATGGGGTTAGGTTTGAGATGGGGCTAGGTTTGAGATGGGGCTAGGTTTGAGATGGGGCTAGGTTTGAGATGGGGCGAGGTTTGAGATGGGGCTAGGTTTGAGATGGGCTAGGTTAGGCTGGGTTTCTGGCACTTGCAGCACAGTGAGCACCATCTATGCCGCGTGGACGGGCTGGGTTGCTTGCATTTGGTTCCTTGCAGCTGCTTTCCATGCCTGCGTGCGTGTCTGTATGATATGACTGCTGCAGCTCTTGGCACGTGGGCTAAGGCGGACAGTACGACGGCCGCACGCCACTTGTACAACTGTGAAATGGGCCTAGGTTAGGTTAGGTTGCTCTTTCCTTGGATAATCAGCAAACGTGTATTTGTGTATGAGATGAAAGAACCCTCCCTCCCCCCTCCCTCCCTCCCTCCTCCCTCCCTCCCTCCCTCCCTCCCTCCCTCCCTCCCTCCCTCGTGCCCTCCCCTCCTGCCCTTCTCCCGCACAGCACCTGGCAGCAGCGGGGGGTCACAACGACCTGGTGCGGCTGCTGCTGCTGGAGGGCGCGCAGGTGAACGCGGTGGACAACTTTGGCACCACGCCGCTGCTGGAGGCACTCAGGGCCGGCCATGATGAGACGGCTGCTATCGTCGCCAGTAAAGGCGGCACTGTTGGGCTGCAGGTGCGTGCTCGGTTACATCTTCACATCTCCTCCTGTCTCGGTTCTGATCGTGTCGTGCTGCAACCCTGGTGCCATACTGCTGCTGGATACGCCATGGTGAGGGTGGGTCGTGGTGAGGGTGGGTTGTGGTGAGGGTGGGTCGCGTGTGTGTGGCTCCTCTGTGTTGGTGCTCATGCTGAGCAAGGGCAGCCCCACGCTGCTGCCTACTCCTGCACCTGCTGTCCCACACAGCATGTTGAGGTGCCTTGGAAGGACCGTCTGTCCACCCATCCGCCCACGCGTCTCTCTTGCTCTAGCCTCTCTTCTGCTCTCTCTTACTCTAGCCTCTCTTCTGCTCTCTCTTACTCTAGCCTCTCTTCTGCTCTCTCTTACTCTAGCCTCTCTTCTGCTCTCTCTTACTCTAGCCTCTCTTCTGCTCTCTCTTACTCTAGCCTCTCTTCTGCTCTCTCTTACTCTAGCCTCTCTTCTGCTCTCTCTTACTCTAGCCTCTCTTCTGCTCTCTCTTACTCTAGCCTCTCTTCTGCTCTCTCTTACTCTAGCCTCTCTTCTGCTCTCTCTTACTCTAGCCTCTCTTCTGCTCTCTCTTACTCTAGCCTCTCTTCTGCTCTCTCTTACTCTAGCCTCTCTTCTGCTCTCTCTTACTCTAGCCTCTCTTCTGCTCTCTCTTACTCTAGCCTCTCTTCTGCTCTCTCTTACTCTAGCCTCTCTTCTGCTCTCTCTTACTCTAGCCTCTCTTCTGCTCTCTCTTACTCTAGCCTCTCTTCTGCTCTCTCTTACTCTAGCCTCTCTTCTGCTCTCTCTTACTCTAGCCTCTCTTCTGCTCTCTCTTACTCTAGCCTCTCTTCTGCTCTCTCTTACTCTAGCCTCTCTTCTCCTCTCCCTTACTCTAGCCTCTCTTCTGCTCTCTCTTACTCTAGCCTCTCTTCTGCTCTCTCTTACTCTAGCCTCTCTTCTGCTCTCTCTTACTCTAGCCTCTCTTCTGCTCTCTCTTACTCTAGCCTCTCTTCTGCTCTCTCTTACTCTAGCCTCTCTTCTGCTCTCTCTTACTCTAGCCTCTCTTCTGCTCTCTCTTACTCTAGCCTCTCTTCTGCTCTCTCTTACTCTAGCCTCTCTTCTGCTCTCTCTTACTCTAGCCTCTCTTCTGCTCTCTCTTACTCTAGCCTCTCTTCTGCTCTCTCTTACTCTAGCCTCTCTTCTGCTCTCTCTTACTCTAGCCTCTCTTCTGCTCTCTCTTACTCTAGCCTCTCTTCTGCTCTCTCTTACTCTAGCCTCTCTTCTGCTCTCTCTTACTCTAGCCTCTCTTCTGCTCTCTCTTACTCTAGCCTCTCTTCTGCTCTCTCTTACTCTAGCCTCTCTTCTGCTCTCTCTTACTCTAGACTCTCGTTCTCTCTCCCTTACTCTAGCCTCTCTTCTGCTCTCTCTTACTCTAGCCTCTCTTCTGCTCTCTCTTACTCTAGCCTCTCTTCTGCTCTCTCTTACTCTAGCCTCTCTTCTGCTCTCTCTTACTCTAGCCTCTCTTCTGCTCTCTCTTACTCTAGCCTCTCTTCTGCTCTCTCTTACTCTAGCCTCTCTTCTGCTCTCTCTTACTCTAGCCTCTCTTCTGCTCTCTCTTACTCTAGCCTCTCTTCTGCTCTCTCTTACTCTAGCCTCTCTTCTGCTCTCTCTTACTCTAGCCTCTCTTCTGCTCTCTCTTACTCTAGCCTCTCTTCTGCTCTCTCTTACTCTAGCCTCTCTTCTGCTCTCTCTTACTCTAGCATCTCGTCTGCTCTCTCTTACTCTAGCCTCTCTTCTCCTCTCCCTTACTCTAGCCTCTCTTCTGCTCTCTCTTACTCTAGCCTCTCTTCTGCTCTCTCTTACTCTAGCCTCTCTTCTGCTCTCTCTTACTCTAGCCTCTCTTCTGCTCTCTCTTACTCTAGCCTCTCTTCTGCTCTCTCTTACTCTAGCCTCTCTTCTGCTCTCTCTTACTCTAGCCTCTCTTCTGCTCTCTCTTACTCTAGCCTCTCTTCTGCTCTCTCTTACTCTAGCCTCTCTTCTGCTCTCTCTTACTCTAGCCTCTCTTCTGCTCTCTCTTACTCTAGCCTCTCTTCTGCTCTCTCTTACTCTAGCCTCTCTTCTGCTCTCTCTTACTCTAGCCTCTCTTCTGCTCTCTCTTACTCTAGCCTCTCTTCTGCTCTCTCTTACTCTAGCCTCTCTTCTGCTCTCTCTTACTCTAGCCTCTCTTCTGCTCTCTCTTACTCTAGCCTCTCTTCTGCTCTCTCTTACTCTAGCCTCTCTTCTGCTCTCTCTTACTCTAGCCTCTCTTCTGCTCTCTCTTACTCTAGCCTCTCTTCTGCTCTCTCTTACTCTAGCCTCTCTTCTGCTCTCTCTTACTCTAGCCTCTCTTCTGCTCTCTCTTACTCTAGCCTCTCTTCTGCTCTCTCTTACTCTAGCCTCTCTTCTGCTCTCTCTTACTCTAGCCTCTCTTCTGCTCTCTCTTACTCTAGCCTCTCTTCTGCTCTCTCTTACTCTAGCCTCTCTTCTGCTCTCTCTTACTCTAGCCTCTCTTCTGCTCTCTCTTACTCTAGCCTCTCTTCTGCTCTCTCTTACTCTAGCCTCTCTTCTGCTCTCTCTTACTCTAGCCTCTCTTCTGCTCTCTCTTACTCTAGCCTCTCTTCTGCTCTCTCTTACTCTAGCCTCTCTTCTGCTCTCTCTTACTCTAGCCTCTCTTCTGCTCTCTCTTACTCTAGCCTCTCTTCTGCTCTCTCTTACTCTAGCCTCTCTTCTGCTCTCTCTTACTCTAGCCTCTCTTCTGCTCTCTCTTACTCTAGCCTCTCTTCTGCTCTCTCTTACTCTAGCCTCTCTTCTGCTCTCTCTTACTCTAGCCTCTCTTCTGCTCTCTCTTACTCTAGCCTCTCTTCTGCTCTCTCTTACTCTAGCCTCTCTTCTGCTCTCTCTTACTCTAGCCTCTCTTCTGCTCTCTCTTACTCTAGCCTCTCTTCTGCTCTCTCTTACTCTAGCCTCTCTTCTCCTCTCCTTACTCTAGCCTCTCTTCTGCTCTCTCTTACTCTAGCCTCTCTTCTGCTCTCTCTTACTCTAGCCTCTCTTCTGCTCTCTCTTACTCTAGCCTCTCTTCTGCTCTCTCTTACTCTAGCCTCTCTTCTGCTCTCTCTTACTCTAGCCTCTCTTCTGCTCTCTCTTACTCTAGCCTCTCTTCTGCTCTCTCTTACTCTAGCCTCTCTTCTGCTCTCTCTTACTCTAGCCTCTCTTCTGCTCTCTCTTACTCTAGCCTCTCTTCTGCTCTCTCTTACTCTAGCCTCTCTTCTGCTCTCTCTTACTCTAGCCTCTCTTCTGCTCTCTCTTACTCTAGCCTCTCTTCTGCTCTCTCTTACTCTAGCCTCTCTTCTGCTCTCTCTTACTCTAGCCTCTCTTCTGCTCTCTCTTACTCTAGCCTCTCTTCTGCTCTCTCTTACTCTAGCCTCTCTTCTGCTCTCTCTTACTCTAGCCTCTCTTCTGCTCTCTCTTACTCTAGCCTCTCTTCTGCTCTCTCTTACTCTAGCCTCTCTTCTGCTCTCTCTTACTCTAGCCTCTCTTCTGCTCTCTCTTACTCTAGCCTCTCTTCTGCTCTCTCTTACTCTAGCCTCTCTTCTGCTCTCTCTTACTCTAGCCTCTCTTCTGCTCTCTCTTACTCTAGCCTCTCTTCTGCTCTCTCTTACTCTAGCCTCTCTTCTGCTCTCTCTTACTCTAGCCTCTCTTCTGCTCTCTCTTACTCTAGCCTCTCTTCTGCTCTCTCTTACTCTAGCCTCTCTTCTGCTCTCTCTTACTCTAGCCTCTCTTCTGCTCTCTCTTACTCTAGCCTCTCTTCTGCTCTCTCTTACTCTAGCCTCTCTTCTGCTCTCTCTTACTCTAGCCTCTCTTCTCCTCTCCCTTACTCTAGCCTCTCTTCTGCTCTCTCTTACTCTAGCCTCTCTTCTGCTCTCTCTTACTCTAGCCTCTCTTCTGCTCTTCTTGCTCTAGCCTCTCTTCTGCTCTCTCTTACTCTAGCCTCTCTTCTGCTCTCTCTTACTCTAGCCTCTCTTCTGCTCTCTCTTACTCTAGCCTCTCTTCTGCTCTCTCTTACTCTAGCCTCTCTTCTGCTCTCTCTTACTCTAGCCTCTCTTCTGCTCTCTCTTACTCTAGCCTCTCTTCTGCTCTCTCTTACTCTAGCCTCTCTTCTGCTCTCTCTTACTCTAGCCTCTCTTCTGCTCTCTCTTACTCTAGCCTCTCTTCTGCTCTCTCTTACTCTAGCATCTCGTCTGCTGCTCTCTCTTACTCTAGCCTCTCTTCTCCTCTCCCTTACTCTAGCCTCTCTTCTGCTCTCTCTTACTCTAGCCTCTCTTCTGCTCTCTCTTACTCTAGCCTCTCTTCTGCTCTCTCTTACTCTAGCCTCTCTTCTGCTCTCTCTTACTCTAGCCTCTCTTCTGCTCTCTCTTACTCTAGCCTCTCTTCTGCTCTCTCTTACTCTAGCCTCTCTTCTGCTCTCTCTTACTCTAGCCTCTCTTCTGCTCTCTCTTACTCTAGCCTCTCTTCTGCTCTCTCTTACTCTAGCCTCTCTTCTGCTCTCTCTTACTCTAGCCTCTCTTCTGCTCTCTCTTACTCTAGCCTCTCTTCTGCTCTCTCTTACTCTAGCCTCTCTTCTGCTCTCTCTTACTCTAGCCTCTCTTCTGCTCTCTCTTACTCTAGCCTCTCTTCTGCTCTCTCTTACTCTAGCCTCTCTTCTGCTCTCTCTTACTCTAGCCTCTCTTCTGCTCTCTCTTACTCTAGCCTCTCTTCTGCTCTCTCTTACTCTAGCCTCTCTTCTGCTCTCCTCTCCTCTAGCCTCTCTTTCTGCTCTCTCTTACTCTAGCCTCTCTTCTGCTCTCTCTTACTCTAGCCTCTCTTCTGCTCTATATTACTCTAGCCTCTCTTCTGCTCTCTCTTACTCTAGCCTCTCTTCTGCTCTCTCTTACTCTAGCCTCTCTTCTGCTCTCTCTGCTCTAGCCTCT